CATCTCCAGGCCACATCACATAAGATGCACCGCCATCGGCCCTTCCCACGCGTCCCTCCGCAGATCGCGTTTCTTACATGTGGCTTGCCTGACTTCTTGACCGACGCTTCCGCTCTTTAACCTGCGTGATGCACTAAACAATGCCTCGCCTGCGTATCCGCCATGTCGCCATTTGCGTGGCAATTATTGTGTGGATCTACTGCTTCCTTCCCGCGAACCAACATGCAGGTATTGCCCCGGGCGTCAATCACGATGCGACCATCAGCCTTGCGCGCTACATGAATGATGTATCCGGTATATCGCCCATTCGCGCAAAAGCGAGCAGTTTCGACTGGAGTTCGGTCAACTTTACCTATCCGCTGCAACGCAAACCAAATTTACCCGCCCCGTTCAGAAATCGACCTCGCATACAACATCCCGCTATAGCCGAATCGCAGGAGGCCAGACGACTCGAGGTCAAGAGAGTGTTTAGGAAGAGCTGGGCTAGTTACAAGAGCAATGCATGGATGAAAGATGCGCTGAAGCCTATTAGTGGGGGTTATGTCGACCAATTCTCGGGCTGGGCTGCTACGCTCGTGGATAGTCTTGACACGTTGTGGATAATGGGTATGCGTGAAGAGTTCTACGAGGCTGTTAGGGCAGTTTCAACGATTGATTTCGGCACCTCCACCTCATCAAGAGTGAATACTTTTGAGACATGCATTCGGTATGTTTTGGGCTTGAATGCAACCAAGGCACAGGCTAACATTTCTAGATATCTGGGTGGACTCCTAGCGGCATACGACTTGAGTGGGCATGACGCACTAAAAGCAAAAGCGATTGAGGTGGGCGACCTGTTGTATGCCGGATTCAACACGGAACATGGCATACCAGTCGACTTTATCAACTTCGAAGAAGCAAAGAAGGGTGGAGGTTTGGTTGTGGAGAGCGAGGTGGTCAGCGCGAGTCCTGGCACAATCACTCTGGAGTTTAGCCGGCTCAGCCAAATCACCGGAGACGACAAGTACTATGCTGCAGTATCGCGTCTGATGGATGTTTTCCACAAAGACCAGAACGCGACCAAGCTGCCTGGAATGTGGCCCATGATGGTGTCTATGCGTAACCGGGATGTGGTGTCTGGATATCAATTCACCATTGGTGGAAATGCAGATTCGCTGTATGAATACCTGCCCAAGGCACACGCTTTGCTTGGTTCAGTCGATCCCAGCGCAGCCAAGTTTGAAACCATGTCACGCGCTTTCTTGGACACGGCAATGAGCAATCTATTCTTTACGCCGATGATACCAGGTCAGGAGGAGATTCTCATCTCCGGCAATGTCGACGTCCTCGAAGACGGCCCGAGCCTCGATCCTGAAAGCGAACACCTTTCATGCTTTATCGGTGGACTCTACGCGCTCAGTGGACGCCTATTCCAAAACGATGAATACCTCGACCACGGAGTCAAGCTAGCTCGTGGTTGCGCTTACGCATACCAGGCCTTCCCATCCGGTATCATGCCAGAGAGATACAACATGGTCTTGTGCCCGGGTCCCGATCACCGCAAACGCTGCGCTTGGGACGAGAAGCGATACACCGAATCCGCAGCCGCACGCCCACAATACAAACCCAACCTCCCTAAGGGTTTCACCACCGCCAAGGATCCCCGCTACATTCTCCGCCCCGAAGCAATCGAATCCGTCTTCATCCTCTGGCGCATCACCGGCGACCCTGTCTGGCGCGAAACCGCATGGACAATGTTCGAAGCTGTAGCCGCGGAAACAGATACCAAGCTCGCCAACGCGGCCATCATGGATGTTACGGTCAAAGGATCCGAAAAAGAGGATTACATGGAGAGTTTCTGGATGGCCGAGACGCTCAAGTATTTTTATCTGTGCTTTGCTGATACTGGCTTGATTAGCCTTGATGACTTTGTACTCAATACCGAGGCTCATCCGTTTCGCTTGTGGAGGTAGGCTTGCTGTTGTGTACTTGGAGAGCTGCTGTATGTACCGGAGTTTTGCTCTCAATGGAGAAAAAAAGAAAAGAAAAGTAGTAAATTTAATTCATGGAAATTTTATAATACGAATGTATGTGATAGACTTGATTTTGGCTTCTGATGACTTGATTGTGTTTCGCTCAAACGGCTTTACTTACTAGGGGAAAAAAAAAGCTAAATTGGTATCCCCCACAAAAAAAACACCAAACTCCATTTTCCCCCAAGAAAAAAACTCCAATTGTGTAAAAAAAAAGGGACAGAAAAGAAAAAAAAAGACTGAAAGTAATCATCTCATCATACCATGTAATCGTTATAAGACAGAAAGAAAAAAAAACAACGCATCACACAATCCTCTCGAACCTCATGTGCTCGACCTCAACCCCAGGCGTACTCGCCACAGTACTAACCCCGGATCCGCGTGAGAACAAACTCGAACTACTCGACTCGACCCTGGACAGCAGCGACTCTGGACTCGACGGCGTACGCGACAGCGAATTGAAAATGTCTTCGTAATCTGGAGCGAATTCTCTATCGGGGGGTTCCCTGGGACTGTAAACAGGCAGAGGTTCTACATCCTCTTCTTCGTCCTGTGCCGGTGGCAAAGTCGATGCATGACGGCGGAGGCGCGGTAGAATTTCTAGCGGAGTTGTAGATGTGACGGTGAAGTGCTGGTCGTTGTATTGGATACCGACGGTGACGCCGAGAGTGTAGCGGCGGGTAATGGTGTATGTTTTAAACGAGGGGATACACTCTGCGTCGTCGAGGAGGCGGAAAGAATTTGAGGTGAGGGCCACGGTTTTGTTGAAGGGGATTTGCGTCTGCATGTCTGAGCGCGAGATGCAGGTTACGTGTTTGGCGACGGTGTCTTCGGGGTAGGAAGACGAGTTTCCGCACATGGTGGTGGAGTGGGTGGATATGACGACGGAGAGGGTGGAGATGGTGCAGTGGCGCTCGGCGTGGTTGGCGGGGTCGCGCGCGTTGAGGAGGTTGAGGGAGAGGGGGATGTGGCCGCCGGGGCCGACGCAGATGGGGTGGTAGAGCGTAGGGACGATGCGCGGGGTTGAGTTCATGGAGACGCCTGAGAATACTTTTTTCACGCGGGATTCGTCTTTTTCGCGGGTGGGCTTCCAGGATTGGCCGTAGAGGACGGAGGAGGTAGAGCGGGAGCGGGAGATTGAGTGTGCGGGTGGTTTGGGGTGGTAGCGGAGTGTTTGCTTGCATCTCTTTGTTTCTGTGGAGCCGAATAGGATGAGTCTTGCCTGGACAAAGTATGATATTTGTGCTGTACCGTCCGGGACATTTGTTTTCAGGTGGAATGTCGGCGGGAGTGGATGTGGTTCCCAGAGGTAGTTGTCTCCGTGTGTCGAGCGTTTGTACTGAGGTTCGGTGGATGCTGGGAAGATGAATTCAAAATCCCAGGAATATTTCTTTGGTCCAAGTCTGCAGTGGGAAAGCAGATGTTTTTCTCGGTTGAACAGTCGTATCTTTTCCTCATAGGTTTGTCTTGATGGAGTGGCGTCGTTGTTGCCATGTGTGTGCAGTGGCCTAGTGGTCTTGGTAATACAACTCCCGGCGAAGACCAACTTCAGTGATGCAACCTCCTTTTGCTCTTCTACTGCCAACCAGACCTGACCCTTGACCTTTTCTCCTGCTTGGTATATCTTGTTGTTGTCGCCATCTACGGTAACTCTTAGTGCCGGGGCCGTCATGTTTGCGGTAGAGGTATAATGAGATCAGTCATGCAGGGACCTTTGGGGCTTAAGAGGAAAAAGAGCGGGTGTAAACGATTGGCTTCAGGCCCGGCCACGCGGCTGTCAGTGTAGCTGGTACGAGGAGAATGTTTGCCGGGGATGGGAAGCGTGCCAAGCAATGCGGGATGTCTGGGCATGCAGCTGAAAGATGATAATGGAAGGTCAGAGGACTCTTTCTTGGAAACGGAGGCTGGGTACAGTCTGTTATTGGGATTACATGTTGTTTGTCTTTTGCCTTGGGCCGCCCAAAGTGCTTGGCGGGTTTTTCCGCTGACCGGGAGAGACCATGAAGCAGTTGGGATCAAGACAGGTACTTGGGCACACATGCGGGTTTGTACAGTGTTGTCGGCATGGGATGCTGGCAGTGATTAAGACCATAGTATAGCGACCGTCTTGTTTCATGTGACGGCTACTCGCACCGACCAAGCGCGACCCAACCTACGCCATGGGGATGGCAGAGACATATCAGCCGCAGCAGTGTTCCGATCCTATTGATTCCACAGAGGAGTTGGAGGCGGGAGAGAGCCAAGGAAGCGTGGTGGTCTTGGCTGGCAGTCTGGATCAGCCACGCTGATACCCCAGATTCACCCCGCTAGCCTCGTGCTGTTAGATCGATAAGACGGGCTCTGGAGTCTAGGTGAGCCCATATAGGACCCGCTGCCCTGGAGCTGGACAAGCAAGGACCCTTATTTTGGCTGTGTGGCGGAACAGCACAAAAAAAGAACATTAACAATGCTGGACAAAAACGAAGACGGTGAGAGCAGAAGCCAGGGTGGAGTCATCTGTATCCCGCCCCGGCGTCGTGGCGTGGGCACGAAGAGCCCTTGGCTTGCGCCCAAGGCCTCGATGGCGGACCGACTTGCCAGGAAAGAATCGGGGAGAGGGAAGGGATTGTGTAACAGGAGGCTGACGCATCCGATTCGCCTGACCACATGGCACTGTAGCGAGCATGCAACCCGTGGACACAGAGCGTAGTATTCACACCGACCTATGTAGTAGGTAGTTTGAATCAAGACTTGGGCCCCGAGAACTAATCACATGCAATCTGCTGGGCATTCCCAAGGCGGCATGGGAGCGTCAGCCTGTGGTTCGGCGTACCGACCCGCCGGCGCTCGGAACTTGTCGTCGAAACGTCATGCACTTTTTTTCGCGGCACCCGTTGGACTGCCCCCATTCCAGTGTGTCCGTCTCTAATATTCACAGCTGTTGCTATCATGTGTAGTGCAACCCATTCACTCTCGACATAACACATTTGATCAATTGACGGCGCGGCAATGTCAGATGGCGGAAAGCGCCCGTCTTCTTACTGTAAGTGTGGACAGAGCAGAGTACAACAGAGCAGAGCAGAGCACAGCAAGAGCATGGCATGGCATTGGTGCGTGGCAGTAAGACCCGAGTGGCTGACACACGGGCTCAGTCCATTTCTTTGCTGGCTTGAACTCAGGCATCCTGTCTGCAGTTCTCCTCCAACCTGCCGACCTCCTCAAGACACGCGTCCAACAGTCTCGCTCAAGCACTCTTCTTGGAACCATCCAGTCCATCGCAAGCGGGCCGAATCCCATCCGGCAGTTTTGGAGGGGCACGCTGCCAAGTACATTGCGCACAGGCTTTGGCTCTGCCATCTACTTCTCCAGTCTCAATGCGCTGCGGCATAGAGCCAGCTTGGTTGCCGCGGCGAGGGCGGATGTGTCGCTGAGGGGAGGCGAACATTCGAGCTCGCTGCCAAAGCTGAGCAACACGGCCAACCTCGCTACAGGAGCATTTGCACGCACATGGGCCGGCTTTGTCATGATGCCAATTACGGTCCTCAAAGTGCGATATGAGAGCAATCTGTACGCATACAATTCCATGTTTTCCGCTTCGAGAGACATTTTCCGCACAGAGGGACTCAAGGGCTTTTTTGCTGGGTTTGGTGCAACTGCGGTCCGCGACGCGCCATATGCAGGGCTTTATGTTTTGTTTTACGAGCAGTCGAAGCGAAGACTGTCGAGCTTGGCAAGCAAAATCGAGGAGACGTCGGGCGCAGCGACCAAGCTTTCGTCGAGCACGTCAGCCGGTATCAACTTTGTCTCGGGAGTAGCGGCAGCTGGCCTAGGGACAACGGTGACGAATCCGTTTGATGCCATCAAGACTCGCATCCAACTCATGCCTGACCAATACGGAAACACGATACAAGCAGGTAAGAAGCTGCTTGCCGAGGAAGGGGTGCGAAGCTTGTTCGACGGGCTAGGCATTAGGATTGCCAGGAAAGCGATGAGCAGTGCGCTCGCGTGGACCGTTTACGAAGAACTGATTCGACGCGCGGCGAGCCTCAAAGAGGTGGTCGAGGATAAGATCTAACGGCATACTGTATTATAGACATGTAAGTGCATGGGCGGCGGCGTTGATGGGCCCTGACTAGGTATCTCTTCGCTCTACTCGAATATCAGGACAAAACGCATAATTTCCCGATCACTTGCAGCAGGTGCATGAATTTGGTGTTCCTGAGAGAGCTATCTTTGGATACCAATCCCTGGGATGGCTATCTTTGGGTTGGGGGCTAGAAATAGCCGATGTCGCTGGCGCCACACATAGTTGAGAGCTTACTTTGCACGTGAGCAGTCTGTTTCATGGAGCGCTGGTAAGCTAAGCATGTATCTCGAGAGCATTGTACGCGTACACAGCGAACAGCGCACAGCGAGTGACATGTGATGAATGGGTAGTGCGAGCTTGCTTCAGTGTGGCCGAGCTGAGGCTGACAGCACAGATAGCGGGCACGTGACGGAGATTGTGCCCCCCGCGACTGCAATGGGAAAGAGGGGTGTGCCAAGCAGACTTTCCTATTTCCTAGCGGCGCCACACTAGGACGTCGCCCCCACCATACCACACGGCCTCTTCCACCCTGCACTGCACGGCATATACATGGCCATTATTCACACAACACGCCATGACAGTATCAAAGAGGATAACATACTGTAATTTCAGCATGCTTACCGCCACCCATCTGGCTGCAGACAGCTGGCCAAGGGCGACAAGCTAGTCGGTGTTCAGCAGACCAGCGCCTATAGTGCCCCCGGCCTCAGCCCTGGCGGCAGCTGCCTGATGACTAGCTGCATCGCGGGAGCATTTCAGCCCCCAAAATTGTGACATGAGCGCGCCCTCGTCTCCTCTCAAAATCCCCTCTGCCGCACTTTCGAGCTGATTCCTTTCTGCTTACTTGCGTCACCTCGCTTGCTGCTCACGCCGCACCCGAGACAAAGACACAAAAGCCTTCTGCACTGATTTCAGCCTTCCTTGACCACTGTACCTTTTGCACTCCAGCACTCAACACCTTTTGCCCGTTTTCCCCACATTCCCTTGCCTCCCACACTCATCATGGTTCTCTCTGATGCGTGGGATGACCGCTACGGCGACGACGAGTGGTACAGCTCGACGAGGGATCGTGTCACGGCCAGCGCCCGCCATGTCCGTGGCTCATCCCCTCTGCCGCCAACAAAGACTCGAGACGACGCTATCCTTCGTCCCGATCATGCTCGTCGTACCAGTGAGTTCCTGGCTCCAGAAGTACACTACACTACCTCTCTCCACCGTACTCGCTCCCAAGGTCACGCGCCAGTTCCCAACGTGACCATTTACAACACTACTCGCATGGACAATGAGAGTAGCCCCCAAGTACGTACCGAGCAAAAGAGCCGTGACTCCAGCCCCCGCGGTAGGCTCGAAGTGAAGCGCAACATGCCTGGTGCCTTTGAGCTCGAAGAGGAAATCACTGCACTGAGGGCAGACTTGAGAAAGGAGCAGCGTTCTCGCTCCCGACACGAGTATCAAGAACGTCGCCACACGCCTGAACAACATGATTATACCGACAAGATCAAATTGACCCTTGCCGAGCAACGGCTCAAAGATCTCGAGTTGGAGCGGGAAAGAGAGCGCCTAGAGAGATACCACGAGCGCCGCCCTTCGCCAGAGCATGACTATGCCGACAAAATTAAACTCACCTTGGCTGAGCAGCGTCTCAAGGATCTCGAGAATGAGCGTGAAAGAGAGCGATACGAAACTGAGCGAGAGCGCGACCGACTGGAACGAGAGCGAGACCGAGACCACCTGGAGCGAGACCGGGAGCGAGAACAACTCGAGCGGGAGCGAGAGCGAGAGCGACGCCAGTTTGAGCGATACAATCAGCATCACCATCGCCATCATTCGCCTGACCACAGCGCCGAAGACAAGGTCAAGCTGGCACTCTCTGAGCAGCGACTGAGAGAGGCCGAGGAAAAGCTCGAGCGGGAACGACAGGAGGATGAGATGAAGAACCGCGAAGAGCTCATGAGGCGCCGAATGGAGCTTGAGTACATCACCGACAGACGGGAGCGCGAGCGTGAGGAAGAGAATCTTCGAAGGTTCGAACAGAACATGCGCCGCGAGTGGGACCTCAAGCGAGAACGCGAAGATCGCGAGCGCGAGCGACAGGAGGTTGAAGAAGAGAGGAAACGCAAGGCCATCATTGCCGAGAACCGAGCAAAGATGTCTCGCGAGCAGCGGGAAGCGGCTGAGCAGCGTGACAAGATCCTCGCCGATCTCGAGAAAGAGAAGCGAGAGCAAGAAGAAGAGCGCAAGCATATTCTTGCAGAAACCCGCCAGAAGCAAGCACGCGAGCAACGCGAGGCAGAGGAGCAGCGTGACAAGATCCTGGCTGACATGGAGAGACGAAAGAGGCAGGAGGACGAAGAGCGCAGGCACATACTTGCAGAAAGCCGACTCAAGCAAGCCCAGGAGGAGCGTGAGGCAGAAGAACAACGCGAAAAGATTCTAGCCAACTTGGAGAAGAAGAAGAAAAAGGAGGAGGCAGAGCGCCAGCGCATCATTGCCGAGAACACAGCCAAGATGGAGAAAGAGGCGCGGGAGCGTGAGCTTCAGGAGAAGGCAAAGGAGGAAGAGCGTAAGCGCATCATTGCCGAGAACACGGCCAAGATGGAGAAAGAGGCGCGGGAGCGCGAGCTTCAAGAGAGAGCAAAAGAAGAAGAGCGTAAGCGCATCATTGCAGAGAATGAGGCCAAACTGGCCAAGCAGGCAAGGGAAGCAGAGGAAGCACAGCGGCGTGCTGTTGAGGATTATGAGAGAAAGAAGGCCAAAGCCGAAGCCGAAGCCCAGGCTGAGCGTGACCGTATCATCTACGAGTATGAACGCAAGAAGATCCTCGATGCCGAGAAGGAGAAGAAGGCGAGAGAAGAGATGATTCTGAAGCTCAAGATGGAGGAGGAAGAAAAGAAGAGAAAGGACAAGGAAGAGTACGATGCCTTCATGCGTAAAGAGAAGGAGAGGCAAGAGGAAGAAAAGAAGAAGAAGGAAGAGCAAGAGAAAGAGCTTGAAGAGGCAATGCGCAAGAGGCTTTCCCAGTTCGGCTTCCAGGACAACCAGATCCAAGTCCTCGTGAATCCCGAGAAGCAACGCGAATTGCAACAAGGCATGCTACCAAACAACCCCATTCCCCAGATTGCAGTCTCGCCTCATCACCACCAACAAAACCACCAACACTACCAACAACACCATGCCATTGCACCTACGCCAACCTATGCCAAGGTCCACGTTAGCCATCTTGACGTCGAGACCCTCCACTACTATGACATTCCTTATGAGTACGATGTTGTAAGTTTGATGTGTATTTGATAGTTGACCTAGTATTAACAGACAAGCAGAACCCAGAGTACATTATTGTGCTTCGCGAGATGTCGCAACGCGAGACGGATATCCTTTTCGAACACACACGCCGCCTTCGCTCGAGCCACGGCAGCAAGCTCTTCATCGAGGCCGAAGGTCGCGACAGCAGGGGCAAGAAGGAGTACGCCTTTGTGCGTAGGAAGTCTCGATCCCGCTCCAGGAGTGCCGTTGGTGTATCTTCTGGCCGAGCCAATGTGAGCTTGGGAGATATGATTTGGCGATAGGCTGCCGTCGAACTGTTGCATTTGTTCGTGTTGTTCTTCTTCACTTATGATATACCAGTTTGTTTCTTTTCTCGATGCTTTCAGACGTTGTTCTGTTCTTCTTGACTTCTCTCTGTTGTATGTATGCACGTACGTAGCGAGTGAATTGAACCGATTATGCGAACGTAACGTATGCTTGACCTAGCTTCTGATGTCTTGCATGAGATTCATCTAGTGACCAGGGCCTCACTAGTGCCATACCATCTACGTAGTTCCAGCTGGCTTAAACCATAACGTGAAGAGAGTAGCATAGCACGTGGTACGTGGTTGTCAGGCCTGTCGCAGGTAGCATGTGACGACATGCAAGGGCGTGGGGCGATTTCGGTTCGTTCCCGCGAGCCTCGGCTTTTGATCATCAGAACACGACCACGGTTCACTGCGACCAAGTTCCAAGCATCTTTCACCATTTGTTTTAGCCAGCGTTGATACCCTTTTTTCTTTCAAATCATGGCGGACGCGCTTTGCGGGCCTTCGAATGCCCTTCAGAATTTCCAAAAACACACGACCGTTGATCGGACACTGCAGCAAGACCGGCTGGTCGGCAGGCAATCACCAGCGCAGGCATGTCACTATTCGGGACGACTGGATACAATGTGGGAGTCTAACAGTCATGTAGGGGTTTAGGTCAGCACCAGGGCCAAATGTAGGGGCGTTAGATTCCGAGTTTGACGCCTTTCAGGCTGGCCAACCTGGTCCGCCGCAAGGCTTCCAGCAGTTTGCTCCACGCTTCGCACAACCTCCTCCGCACTTCGCGCAAGCGCCTCAAGCACCCGATTGGGCTGCTGACTTTCAGCGTCTGAATGTTAGCGGTCCACCTCCACAAGCGTTTCAGCAACAAAGACCGCAACAAGCAAGCGCGGCGTCAGCATGGCATCAGGACTTCTTGAAGCAGCAGGCGCCGGTCGCGCAGGCTCCCGCGTTACAGCAGAACACTTTTGGAGGTATGTCGGGGTATGGCATGGGTGGATTTGGAGGACAAGCGTTCATGCAGACACCAAGTTTCCAGAACGTACAAATGTCCGACGTGGCACAGGGGAAGCAGCGGGCGCAAGATGATGTACCCGCTTTCGACGAGGCGGCCTTTGAACAGGCGTTTGCGCAGGCGCAACAAGATATGATGGAGGTTGTCGAAGCAGAGCAGGCACATGCACAGCCAGCGCAAGAAGCACTGGACTTGGACCGGCCGGGTGAGATGGATCCTCTCCTTCAACGGATACGTGAAACGCGTCCAGGTTTGTAGTATCCGCCGCGCTCACTACAGTTGCTGACTGTGCTTTCCAGCTGTATACTCTGCCATCCAAGTATGGAGCGAAACGGGCCTTGGACGAACTTCTGAAGCAGTCGCATACCTGGAGAATATGAGCCAGATGGAGCGCAATGGGT